TTATTGGAGAAAGAAAATAATCTTAAATAAATTTAGTGTAGTGTAAGTTGAGTGCACGGTGTTTATAAAGTCTACAGCAGTGCACGGCAATGTCCGAGGCCTTCCCATTCACGCACTGCTTGCTCACTGACTCACCCAGAGCAACTTCCAGTCCTGCGAGTTCCATTCATGGCAAGTGCCCTACAGGTGTACCATGTTTTAATCTAAAAGATTAAATGTTATATTTTTACTGTTCATTTTCTATGTTTAGCTACACAATTACCATTGTGTTACCGTTGCCTACAGTATTCAGCACGCAAACGTGTTGTGCAGCTTCGTAGCCTAGGAGCCATGGGCTAGAGCACAGAGCCTAGGTGTGTAGGGGCTCTGCCGTCTAGCTTTGTGTAAGCAAACTCTGTGGTGTTTGCACAATGACGAAATCACCTGATGACAAGTTTCTCAGAAGGTGTCCCTGTCATTAGGTGACACACGTCTGTAATTTGACCCACGTTCCCTCCCTTCTGTAAGTCTTGAAAGGGCGTCCAAGTGGTAGGTTTGTTGTGTTAGGTCAGAGGCATATCTCCGTCAGGCAAATCTGGAAGATTTTTCAAAGCCTCTCCATGTATGCCTCAGAGGACTGTCAATTAGCAAGAAAATCATACTTTTTACAAACAGGAAATCTATCAGGACAGATTCAAATGAATGTATTTTCTACCTTAATGTGATGGGAGAGGAAATTTACAATGAGGACCTTCAGACATTATAAAATTCAAATCATGAAGGATCCAATTTTGTTCAGCGTTATTTTCATATAGAGTGCTTTAAGAATTCTTTACCTTTCACTTTTTAGAGATGAAGTTTCACTCTGTCACCCAGCTAGAGTGCAGTGGTGTGATCATAGCTCACTGTAACCTCAAATTCCTGAGCTCAAGAGATCCTTCCACCTCAGCTTGTTGAGTACCTGGGGCTACAGGTGTGCACCACCATGATAGGCTAATTTTTAAAATTTTTTTTTGTGGAGACAGGGTCTTGCTATGTTGCCCAGGATGATCTTGAACTGCTGGCCTCAAGCAATCCTCCGCCTGGGCCTCCCAAATTGCTGGGATTACAGGCGTGAGCCACCATGCCATTAAGCATTAAAAAAAAATTTAGAACAAGGGACCCATCACTGATGCTTCTACTAATGGTAGCTCTCCCTAAAGTGGAACGTTACAAAAGTGAAAAACAAACACAAAACAACAGCCAAACATACTTTAAAGTAAGATGTTCTCTTGGAGTTCTGAATACTTGAAAGACTTCCTTTTGAAAAATTTGAGTTAGCTTTTGGAAAATGGACTTTCCCATGTTACTAGATATTTCTTTTTATCTCTCCCTATTGTTTTAAAAAAATTTAATTCAATTCACATGTATTTGCCAGCCTTTGAGTCAGACCCTGGAAATACAAAAACCAGCAAATAATGGGAAACCATCCCTGTTCCTAGGAAACCCATAATCCAACTCAGGGAGTAGGAAGTAAATAACGTCTTGTAAATAATGCCTAGATGGTGTAGAAACATGTATTTTAGGAGTTGGAAACAAAGGAGCAAGTATCAATTTTTAAAAATTTGTATTATGAAAACTTTCAAACATAAACAAAAATTAAAGGAATAATACAATGAATCCTCATTACCCATAACCCAACTTACAAAAATTATCATCATATTGCCAATCTTGTGTCATCTAGGTCTTCCTACCTTGCTGGTTACTTTTCTTTTCTTTTTTTTTTAAGTTATTAAGGTATAATTACATACCATGACATTCACCCATTCCAAATGTATAACTCAATAATTTTTAGTAAATTTAGGGTCATGCAAACATCACCATAATCTAATTTTTAGAACATCTCTACCATCCTAAATATTTCACTACTTTAGTGAACTTCACTATTTTAGTTCTCATCCCTAGTGCCAGGTAGCCCTGGATCTTTTCTATATTTACAGATTTGCCTTTTCTGGGCATTTAATATTAGTGGAAATATATAGTATGAGGCCTTCTGCATCTGAGTTTTTTCACTCAGCATAATGTTTTCAAGGTTCACCCATGTTGTCACATAGATCTGTACGTCATTCGTTTATGGTTGAATAATACTCCATTGTGTGGCTATGCCCTATTTTATTTACCCATTATTAGTTGATGACACAGGTGGTTACTTCCAGTCTTTGGCTGTTATGCACATGTCTAAGAGCATTCACACGTTTTCATGTGGACACAGATTTTCACTTCTCTTTGGTAGATCCCTAAGAGTGGAATTGCTGGGTTTTATGGTAAGTTTATGTTTAACATCTTAAGAAACTGCCAAACTTTTTCTCCAAAGTGGCTGTGCCATTTATTATAAAATTTCCATCAGCAATGTAAAAGGATTCTAGGTTTCCCCATATCCTCACCAGCTCTTATTATTCCCTTTTGATTATAGCCATTCTAGTGGATATTAAGTAATCTCCAATTGTAGGAGTTTTTCTTTTCTCTTCTCTTCTCTTCTCTTCTCTTCTCTTCTCTTCTCTTTTCTTCTCTTCTCTTCTCTTCTCTTCTCTCCTCTCCTCTTCTTTCTCCTCTCCTCTCCTCTCCTCTCCTCTCCTCTTTTCTCTTCTCTTTTCTTCTCTTCCTTCCCTTTTTCTTTCTTTTTCTTTCTGCAGGTCTACCTTCTCACCCAAGCTAGAGTGCAGTGGCATGATCATAGCTCACTGTAACCTCAAACTCCTCGGCTCAAGCGATCCTCCTGCCTCAGTATCCCAAAGTGCTGGGATTGTAGGTGTTAGCCAACACACTAGGCCCTAAGTGTGTGTGTTTTGTTTTTTTTTTTTGAGACAGAGTCTTGCTTTGTTGCCCAGGCTAGAGTGAGTGCCATGGCATTAGCCTAGCTCACAGCAACCTCAAACTCCTGGGCTCAAGCAATCCTTCTGCCTCAGCCTCCCTAGTAGCTAGGACTACAGGCATGCGCCACCATGCCCGGCTAATTTTTTCTCTAATATATTAGTGCCAATTAATTTCTTTCTATTTATAGTAGAGACGGGGTCTCACTCTTGCTCAGGCTGGTTTGGAACTCCTGACCTTGAGCAATCCACCCGCCTCGGCCTCCCAGAGTGCTAGGATTACAGGCTTGAGCCACCGCGCCCGGCCGCTAAGTGTGGTTTTAATTCACATTTTCCCTAGTGAATAATACTGTCAAACATTTTCATGTGTTTATTGGCCATCTGTATATCTTTGTTGGAATGTTCATTCAAATCTTTTGTCCATTTTAAAAAATAAACTCATTTTAGAATAGTTTTAGGTTTACAGAAAAATTGTGAAGAGAGTACATAGAGTTCCCTCATAGCTCACACGGTTTCCCCTGTTATTAACATCTCACATTAGTGTTGTAATTACTTAACCAACACTGATATACTACTAACTAAAGCCCACACTTTATTCAGATTTCCTTAGTTTTTACCCAATGCCCTTTTTCTGTTCCAGGATTCACCTAGGATCCCACATTACATTTAGTCACCTCTCCTTAGGCTCCTCCTAGCAGTGAGTGTCTCAGACTTTTAAAAAAAATCATTGATTTATTTAGAGACGGGGTATTACTATGCTGTCCAGCCTGGAGTCAGCAGCTATTCACAGGTGCAATCAGTGCATTGCAGCCTCGAACTCCTAGGCTCAAGCGATACTCTTGCCTCAGCCTCCTGAGCAACTGGGACTACAGGCTTGGGGTTATGGATTTTTGAGACCACAGAGGTAAAGTACTAGGCTTCCATAACAAACACAGTTGTTCCTCGGTAACCCCGGGAGAGTGGTTCCAGAACTCCCACGTGTACCAAAATCCGAGCATACTCAAGTCCCACAGTCAGCTCTGTGGAACCCGCGTATCCACAAAAATTGGCCCTCCTTATCCTCGGGTTTTGCATCTCTCAACTGCCATATTTTCCATCTGTGTTTTGTTGAAGTAAACCTGTGTCTAAGTGGACCTGTGCAGTTCAAATCCATGTTGTTCAAGGGTCAACTGTACTGTAGACTGAGTGGCTTAAATAAGCGATTTATTGTCTCACAATTCTAGAGACTGGAAGCCCAAGATCAAGGTGTGGGCAGAGTTGTTTTTTTTCTGAGGCGTCTCTCCCTGGCTTGTAGACTCTGTGTCTATGTCCTAATCCCCTCTTTTTATAAGGACACCAGTCATATTGGGTTAGTGCCCACCCATGTGCTCTCATTTAATCTTAACTACCTCGTTAAAGACCCTATCTCCAAATACAGTCACACTGAAGTACTGGGAGTTATAACATCGGCACATGGATTTGCGGGGGGAGACACGATTCAGCCCCCAACAGTGTCATTCTCATCCTGTAGAGGGTACATGTTACCAACACAGCTATCACTGGTCGCGCTGACCTCGATCACCTGGCTGAGGTGTGTCTGTCAGGTTTCCCCTCTGTGCAGCTACTCCCTGTCCTCCCTGCTTTTTCATACTGTACTCTTTGGAGAGAAGTCGCTACGTAGGAGTTAGGATTTATGTTTCATAAACCTGTTAGAAGCAATACAAGGGTAAATTGTCATGACTTTGGACTTGGCAATGGATTCTTAGATATGACATTAAAAACACAAGCCACAAAAGAAAAAATGGATAAACTGGACTTCATAAAATGACAAACTTCTGTGTATCAAAGGACGTTATCAAGAAAGTAAGGCTGGGCAACAAAGTGAGACTCTGTCTAAAAAAAAAAAAAAAGAAAATGAAAAGACAACTGACAGAGTAAGAGAAAATACTTTCAAATTCTATATTTCATAAAGTTCCAGCATCCAGAATGTAAAAAGAACACTTTACAACTCAACAGTAAAAAGTCAAAAAATCCAATTAAAAAAATAGACAAAGGGGCTGGGTGTGGTGGCTCACACCTGTAATCCTAGCACTCTGGGAGGCCAAGGCAGGAAGATCACTTGAGCTTAGGAGTTTGAGACCAGCTTGAGCAAAAGGGAGTCCCTGTCTCTACAAAAAAATAAAAAAACAAAACAGTAAAGGATCTGAAGGGTTCTTCGGCATTTCTCCAAAGAACATATACAAACAACAGGCACGTGAAGAGATGGTCAACATTGTTAGTTGTGAGGGAAATACAAATCAAGACCATAACAAGGTAATACTTCATACTCACTATGAAGACTATTATTAAAAAAAAAAAGAAAATAACAAGTGTTGGTAAAGATGTAGAAAAACTGGAACCCTCATACGTTGCTGGCAGGAATAAAAAAGTGGTGTGGCCACTGTGGAAATCAGTTTGGTGGTACCTCAAAAAGCGAAACATGAGTTACCATGTGACCTAGCAATTCTACTCCCAGGTATGTCCCCCAAAATTGAAAACATGTACTTAAATACACACACACACACACACACACACACACACACACACACACACACATCCTCACACAAAGTTCACAGCAGCACTACTCACAACAGCCGAAAGACGGAAACAGTCCAAATGTACATCAATGGACGGGCAAACAAACAAACTGTGGTCTACATAAATGTTGGGATATTAGCTATGAAAAGGAACGAAGCAACGATTTATATTTTAATGCGGATGAACCTCAAAAACATACCAATATGAAGAAGCCAGACACAAAAGGCCACATACTATATGATTCTAGTTAATATGAGACACCCAGAACAGGTACACCCACAGACAGAAAGCAGAGCGATAGTTGCTGGGGGCTGGGAGAGGCGCAAACGCAGAGTGGCTGCTTGGGGGGTGTGGGGTCTGCAGTGGGGAGGATGAAAACGTTTTAAAACCGGAAAGAGGTGATGGTTGCATGACACTATGAATGTATTAAATACCAGTGAATTGTTCACTTTAAAATGATTAATTTTACGTGAATTTCACCTTAATTTAAAACAACGTTAAGGTTGGAGGAAGGGTCACCAGCCAGGTTTCTCTGAAAAAGGCCCAGAATGTTTTGCTCAGCTCTGCGCATTCATACTTGAGCCAACCATGTACACATGAACATTAAGGAATGTGCTTGAACATCAAGGAATTTAAGCCACAGGCTTACTCCTGGCTTCCTTCCAAGGAACCGTAAAAGTCAGGGATATCTGCTTCCAGAGGCAGATTGGGCTTGGGCCTTCCCGGGAAGTGGATGTGGGATCCTTGCTGTGCTGGAGAAGCAGAGCCCCCTGTTTCTTCGCCAAGCTCTGGAACAGAGGTGAATGCTCTTGTAACCAAAGCACAGAGATACAAGAAACCATCGCTTAATTCCCAGGTTGGCCGTAGCTCCCTGTGTGTCTTACATATGTCTATGCCTTTATTTGCCTTTCTGTAAAATGGGATCCCTTGCATTTTATTCAATTTTAAAACATTTTATTAGAATAAATATATTGGTTGCTTGGGGGTTGTTGGAATCCCAGGAATCCATCATAATGAGAGATTTATTTCTTGCAGTTGTAGCACATTTCCATTTAATGAGTTTTGATTGCTGCTCGATACCAGAGTCGTGGGGGCCGTCTGGGGCTCTGGATGGAGGAGGCACCAGGGTGAGGTGCTGCCACATGAGATGCATGGCCAGGGCCCTTGAGAGACACGAATGCAGACACGGAAGCCAGGGCTTCCACCGGTCACTGTGACCATCGTCTTCCAAACGTCCCACCATCTGATCACATGGGAGAATGCCTGGCAATCGCAGGTCCTCTGTGACTATTTGAAGGCTGAGTTGATGGATGAATAAATGAGGACCACGGAGGACAGTTGCTAGAGGGCCACAGGCTGGTCTGGGTGGGGCTTCTTGAGAACACATGTATTCTTCTTTCTCCCTGAAGTCTGGCATGCCCATGTGACATCAAGAAGGTCGAATGTACCTGAGGATGCTCTGCCTTCCCTCTTAGCCTAAGCTTTTTTAAATTCAAGTTTTTTTGTTGTTGTTTTTTTTTTTTTTTTTTTTTGAGACAGAGTCTCGCTTTGTTGTCCAGGCTAGAGTGTTGTTGTCCAGGCTAGAGTGAGTGTCGTGGCGTCAGCCTAGCTCACAGCAACCTCAAACTCCTGGGCTCAAGGGATCCTTCTGCCTTAGTCTCCCAAGTAACTGGGACTACAGGCATGTGCCCATTCCTGGCTAATTTTTCTGTGTGTGAGTTTTTTGTTGTTGTTGTTGTTTTTGAGACGGGGGTCTTGCTCTTGCTCAGGCTAGTCTTGAACTCCTGGCCTCAAGTGATCTTCTCGCTTTGGCCTCCCAAAGTGCTAGGATTACAGGCATGAGCTAACTCACCTGGCCTAAAATTTACCCTTTTAATGTGTACAATTCAGTGGTTTTTAGTCTATTCACAATAAATTGAAATTTTGAGTAGGTAATGCATGCATATGGCCTAAAATTCAATGATTACAAAGGAATATACACTTAAAAAAAACTTCCTCCCACCCTGTCCCCTATAAATATTATCTATTTCTTGACTCTACTCCTATAGATATTATGAAATAATATCTATATTATTATTACATATATATTATATATCTATATATTATTACAAGCAAATCTATTCTCCCCTTTTTAATACACATATTAGAAAATTTTATGTACTGTTCAGTGTCTTGTTTTTTTACTTAAACACAACTTGGCGGTTCTGCTGTGCGTGTCCTGACCTTTCTCATTCCTGCCTGTGGCTGCATGGTATTCTAGTCTATGGATGGAAAAACACTTACTGATGGATATTTAGGTTGTCTCCCAGCTTTTTTTTTTTTTTTTTTTTTGAGACAGAGTCTCGCTTTGTTGTCCAGGCTAGAGTGAGTGCCGTGGCGTCAGCCTAGCTCACAGCAACCTCAAACTCCTGGGCTTGAGCCATCCTTCTGCCTCAGCCTCCCGAGTAGATGGGACTACAGGCATGTGCCACCATGCCCGGCTAATTTTTTATATATATATCAGTTGGCCAATTAATTTCTTTCTATTTATAGTAGAGACAGGGTCTCGCTCTTGCTCAGGCTGGTTTTGAACTCCTGACCTTGAGCAATCCGCCCGCCTCGGCCTCCCAGAGAGCTAGGATTACAGGCGTGAGCCACCGCGCCCGGCCTGTCTCCCAGCTTTAACTTTTACAAATCAATGCTGTACCAAAGTACCTGGTGCATAAGACATATTGCATGTTCAAGCAGATCTATAGAGGAGATCCCCAGAAGAGAACGCGCTTTTCTAATTTTGACACCTCTTGCTAAGTTGCCCTCTGTAGAGGTTGCGCCAATTTTGATCCCCATCGGAATTTATTTCCAAACCTACCTTGACGTATAGCAACAGCGACAAGAATGCTCATTGCAGCGTTATTCATTATAGCTCCAAACTGGAAATGACCCACATGGGCCTCAACAGAGTGGATAAATAAATCCTCGTCTTGCCATACAGTGGAATAGCACACTGCAACGAAAAGAAACAACGTTCTACTGCACGTGACATGGAGGAATCTCATAGACACGTCGACAAGGGAAGCAAGGTACACACAATACAGCACTTCCTGTGTGATATCAGGGATATGCATCAGTTGTGCAGCCAAAAGGAAGCTATCTGTGATGACGGTGATCACCAGGTTACCCTTGGATGGTGGAGGGAGTCTGCTGAGCTTCTAGAAGTGTCCTATATTGTGTTCGGAGTGATAGTTACGTCAGTGTATCAACGTGTAAAATCTCACAGAGCTATGCACACTTCACTCATGTAAGTTCTACCCCAACAAAAAGTTAAAAGGTTAAAAATAAACGCCAACACAGATGCACAAACAACATGGCACCACAGCGGGCAGACTCTTGAGCTACAAAAGGTGAGATGACAGACTATCTCTTTTGTCCAGTCTTGATTTGGATGTGGGTTCTGGCTCAAAGCTGCCCCAAAGGTGCAGAGTCACCCCTACAAAGGGGGAAGGACCTGAGCTGTCTGTGCCCCCTCGGCCTGCCTCCTCCTGTTTGCTCTGACCGTGGCTCTCTGGTTGTGCCCTCCCCAGCCCAGACAATTCCCTGCACCAGCTGCCGAGCAGCTGCCTAGTTATTTATAGCTTCGTTCCTCAGCCCCTCTGTCCACCTTCGGCTGCTCCTGGGACCTCTCTTCCCACCCCCTTCCCGGCTGTGTCCAGCCTCCTGGAGGAGAGTGGGGATGGCAGAGGCTCAGGTCATTGACAAATATCTTAGAACACAATTTTAAAAAGAGTTTCTGGACCATTCCAGGACCCACTGCTATGGGGAAGGGCCTGCCCCTGCAGAGCTGATTCCTGGGGCTGACCTCTAGCATTCTCCTGATGTGACCTCACCTTTCGCCATGGCTTTTGGACTAGGTGGGATGAACTTTCTCATCAGCTCTAAGCAAAGGCTCCAAGGTCCCTTGGGCACTTGCCCCCTCCCTACCTTCTCTTGGGTGAAATGACAACTCCTGTGAGGTCCATAAGGAGGGTCCAGGCCCTTGCTGGGAATGTGATGGTGATTCTAGTCTCTTCTCTTTAGGGTCTCCTGGACCTAATGGCTAAAGCAGCCAGTCAGCCCTTGCCTTGGGGAGAATGCTTTCCTGGGGCCTGACACAGCCTCTCAGATCCAGGCTCCCACCCTGTGCTGCCTTACCCACTCTGCGGGAGTCCCTGGCTTTGAGGGCAACCCCTCTAGGACAGCTTAGGCAGGGGCTACACTCCCTTCCTCTCATCCTCCACATGCTTCTGGTGAGGCCACAGGCAGCGTCCTTCGAGAACCTTGAACTTCTTCCTAAGCCCCATTTGGCCTCAGCTCAGAAAACCAGGATGCTCCCCGGACACCAGCACACTATTCCAGATCGGCTGGCTGTCCACCTTCCTGGCTGTGGGGAAACAAATCAAGCCCCAATACTTTTCATTGTTTAGCGTAAAACCCCACGGGGAAGCCTACCTACTCCTTGCAATGAGGCGTAAGACTTCAGGTCTTCTACATCGCCAGAGGGCAGGATCCGTAATGCAGGAGGTGTATTCTAAAAATGTGATCTAGAAAATATATCTAAAAATTCAAACCCATTTAAAAAGCAGTAAAGACACTTGCCTCCTTCCTCTTTTCTTCTTTCTCCCCCTCACTCCTTCCATCTCCCTTCCTCCCTCCCTAGGTGAAGGGAAGGGCCACCTCTAACTGGGGCGGAAGGAAGGTAGCCTAGATTTAAATGAACTTTGCTGGGTTAGAGTAAGGTGCAAGGTCTGTATTCTCATGTGACAAACAAGCTGGGTGAGTTTACCGGCCTGATGTTGGTGTTGCCCTATCTCCAGGCAGGCAAGAGCGGGACCAGGAGCAGAGGAAGTTCACTTCTTTATGATTCATCACTCCTCCACCGAGGGTTTTTGGTGAGTCTGTGAGCAACGGACACCACTGGGACCGTCCTCAGGCCCTGACTGTGCAGAGCATGTAGAGGCCAAAGAGTTATTGGCAAAAATCAAGAAGAAAATTAGCTTGCATACTTTAAGTCTGTGGCTCTCTGCCAATGTTTCCTTCCAGTATGAACATTCTTATTTTCATTCTGGAAGTTTTTGTCAAGTTTGTTGGAAATGAAAGGGTGGTGAGCAGACAGAAATGAAATGGCCCTTGCTGAGGTGTAAGGACTGTTTTCTATATCTGTTCTCAAGAACACAGAATATATGTGTACTTTCTAGAGTGGCACCAGGCTCTCCTTCATGGGGACTTTAACCCATGTCAGATATGGCCTTATTCTACAACCCACCTTGGGCCTCAAGGCATGTGTTGCTATGTGTGATGATAAGTATGAAGTATGTATCTGTCCACTACGTGGTGAGGACCATTCTGAGCCATCACTGAAGACATATGCCAGACAGATGGGCACTTTATTCAGAAGATAATGGTGAACTCTAATGAATTTCATTGGCATCAAATTTTTATATTCCTGTAAACTTCTGCAAGCCATGAAATTACAATTCGTGCCTCACAATAATACAAAAGCGACTCATTTAATTGAAAAAAAAAGCCTCCCAGAAAAATTGGTAAATCAAAACTAATACCCTTTTTAAAAAATTGAAAATAATGTCCCTGAGTTTTCATATTTGCTCACAGATCCCTTTGGTTGTAAAAGTTTGTTATATAAGGTACTTTCTTGTTTTTCAAAAGAATGTTATAGCACTGGTATGTTGGTAGCCTCAACTGAAGCATCCCTACAGATGACAGCACACAAAGAATGCTACTAAGTCTCCAATCACATGGGGAAGTTCTGAGGGAGTCCTTGGGGTGACTTATTTTGATTTTTTTAAAGAAGTGGGGTCTCACTATGTTGTCCAGGCTGGCCTCAAACTCCTGGGCTCAAGTGATCCTCTGACCTTGGCCTCCCTAGTGGCTGGGACTACCGGCTAAGTCACCACCCCTGGTTTGGGATGACTATTTTAATCTCAGAAGAGCCACCTGGCTAAAAAGTGATGCCTTCCAGGGCATGATTCTATTTAAGGAGACATTTTCTTATTTTTACAGAAGCTTGATAACTGAATAAAAGAAAAGGTAAACAATTTTTTTTGCATGGACAAAAAAATATATTTTATATTTTTTATAAATAAAGGCATAGTTAATATGCACATCTAAAGATCTTTCTTCTCACCTTCCCTGAACAAGGCTAGGTGGAGAAGAGAGCAAGAATTTTCTCTTTCTAAACAGTTGGGCTGAATTAAAAAAAAACAACAAAACCCAAACAAAAAAAGCCCATTCTCCTCCCAGGGAGAGCACAGCTTCTCTTTGTATTGTGTTTGCTAATCAGCTCCCTACACCTGTTTACCCAACAATAGCTAAAAAAAAAGTTAAACTCAGAGTTAAGAGATACACACAGAATAGTCGGTGCTGGAAATCTGATCCAACCACAAGTGGAAAGAATTTTCTTTCTGTGATTCCTGGGCGCCTATGCTTGGCGGCTCATTTTCGGCATATTCTTAAAACCTTAGGAAATTGTCAGTCACACTTCTAAGTTAAAAGATTGGGAAACTGGGCCAGTGAATAAATACTTACTTTGGATCTGTACTATTGATGAAAAATAAAAAATCACTGGAAAAAATGAGCCTCTTTCTTCTATTTTTGCTCAAAGCAGTCCAAAGAAAACAAGTTTGGTTCACTCCTGTCCGTGAGCTCAGAGTTGAACAAACTCCAGCAAAATCACAGAGACAGTTGGAGCCAGATATGCAGGAGTGCACCTCATACACATTTCTTAACATAGGGAGGCTTTACCTTGCTTTTTGGTGCTGGGGAGAGAGACTGCCAGGGAGAGGGCCATCTTTGGTCCCTTTCTGCACAGGTTCCTGCTTGAAGAACCTCTGATCCTGATTGGCATCCAAGACCACTCATAGCCACACTGCGTGCTTTGGACAATCCTGTTTGAACAAAGGGTGCTGAGGGTGGTCTGGCTCAGGCAGGCTGGACAGAGTGCTGCAGCACCTTCTTCCTGGAAGTGCCTACGTCAGGGCAGACCACCTGGCAGCAGTGGCCCCTGGAGCCCTGGCGCTTTGGCTGGGGGATTAAAACACAATGACCAGTCCGCATCACCTTCCAGATGCATGGAGCACCCACGGACGGGTAAGCTCTGGAGTCTAGTGGATAAATGAATTTTCTGGTAGATGACTTCTATTACACATATTTCCTACTTGAAGTTGCACCAAACCCAGAATAAACAAACAACAAAATTTGAGTTAATTATACTATATTTTGAATTATTTTCCCAGCTTTTCTTGATCTATAGTGTGAAATTTTCTCTGATACAGTAAAACATTTGCATATACAGCAGATTACAAGGCCTGTAGTGACGAATTAAAGATAATGTGCTTTTACCTATATACAGATATAGCTTAGTATTTCACAGATACAGTTCTTCATTTTTTTGGTTGTCGACAGAGCATAAGCAGTTTCTTATTTTTTAAATTTACAGTTAGACTCTTGACAGCAACTCTGTCCTTGAACTGAAAGGAAACTGAGTTTCCCCTTCTCAACAGTGTTTTTGTCTTCTGGAAAAGAGAAGATGGGAACATGTCGATATGAAAACGGTTGGAGGGGAGAAAAGAAAGAAAAATGAGCAATTTCTAGAAAATACGATGATTTAAAAAGAAAACTACACTTTTGGAATGGAAAGACTATTTATAATCTTCTGTGATTTTTTTATTTCATGACAAGCAAAGTGCAATGCCCAGAGGTAGGACTCAGTCGGCGTGTGTGGAAAGAGTGCTAGTTTTAGGTTATCACATACAATCACCCACAAGGAATGGGCTGTTTGGACCATGGTCACCCCTTCCAGTCACACAGCACTACTAACAAGGAAAATGCCGAGGTATGGCCACCTGTTGGCACAAAGCCCCGTGAGCCCATGTTGCTGCGTTGCACGTGACATCACAACCCACGAGCCTCACAGAATTGCTTTTGGAATGAGGATAGCTGCGTGGATGGAGAAAGTGGAATTTGATTTTAACAACTGGATCATCTCAGGAACAGCTAAGCCCTAAAATGCTTACTTATCATGAAATTGACACAGAATTTCAAGGAGGATGTTAAGGCTTTGGTTTTCCCACTTGGTGCTCACCCGTATGTTGTTATTAGCGCTTCAGTGTAATGCTGCTGTGTGAAGAGGATGCACCCAGAGGCCCCGCTGGGCACGCCCCGTCCGATGGCTTCTGACATGCGATTGGGGTGCCGAGGGGGCGAAGTGCGGGTTGGGGCTGAGCTGGCTGGGCAGGGCCACAGGACGCTGGTGAATGGTGCTTTATCCATACCCATACGTCCGCAGTCCTCTGCTCTGTCCCTGCCATCCCCCAATTCCAAGGACCATGGTGGGGTTTAGTGAGGATGTTTGTGGACCCCACACTGGTCTGAGAGCCTGGCTTGCTGCTGCCTGGGCCAGGCTGTGGGGTGAAGGGAAGATGTCCCTCTTTCTGAGCTGGGATCAGGCCCAGAAATCCCAGCTTGCTGCTTGGGCCGCTTCCTGAGACTTGCAGATGATTTTCTGAAAGGCTGTGTGTGTCACGGGCTTGCCCAGGACCTGGTGGCAGCTTATGGGGAGCGGCTGGGAGTGTCTCCAGCTAGGCCAGGGCATGAGGTCCAGACCAGGAAAAGTGTTCCAAACAGAACATGAAGTTCACAGAAGCCAAAGGGCAGGCAGAGGGTCGGCACTGAGTGCTGGTGCTAAGAGGTTGTTTTCTTGCACTTCAGAGGAACTGAGGGAAGGAAGAGACCGTCTCCATGCACATGTGACGTGAGCACTGGCACGGGAGAACTCTTGCTGGAAGTCATCCGCAGAGACTATTGCTATGAACAGTGATGTGCAGGCTCTGTGTTTGCTGTAGTGACAGAGCTACTGGTTAGGAACACAGGCAATTCTTTTGGAGTTCTGGTAACGATCCCAAGGTAGAAGCCAAATGTGACACGTGTACTTGTCATATCATCATACAGCTAGTTCACTAGAACACACTAGATTTTCTCTCAAAGCACATGGGTCTGAGTCTGTTGTAATTCCACCACCAAAATGGAAAGTTCAATGAGGAGATGATGGAATTTGCAAATGAGGAGCTGAAAAGGATACAAAGTGGCCCCTGGTGGTATTGGCTAAGAAAAGTGAACTGAAGAATTTGGATCACTATCCATGTGATTCACACAATAAATTCATTTTGTCTCATTTGAAATATTTTAAGAAAAAGGATGTTTTTTATCCTAGATTATCTGGATAATTGCTTCAAAGCTCTTGCATTTAAAAAAATATTTGCATCTTTTCTTCTTAGGTCTTAACTGAGTGTCCTGAAAGTTCACATAAACGACATTCTTCAATATTAAAGCAAAACAAATGAAACAAAGCCCAACACTTTCAGGTGCCATGATAGATCAGGAGCTTTGGAAGTCTATGGAAGTCCTTGATTGAACTTTTTAAAAAGTATAATTCATCATGCAATTAATGATAAAAATAGGAGTCCAAGGACAATATCATGCCATATTCTTCTGGGTTAAATAAACATTCTAAATGTATCTGCAATGCCATCCAGAAGACTTTACTCGGGGAAGAGTGTCATTTTGGTACATCAGAATTATGTTGGAAAAGTTCAACCAACTCAAGACTTGCTTCTAAAAAATAAACTATTGGCTCCTTAATCCTTTCTAAATAGTCAACAAAGTCAGATTTATTTTATCCAGATCTCCAAATTGTCATAAAAACTTACAATTTCATTCTAGGATGATTCAAGTGGTCAAGTAATATTTCTTTCCTTTCCCTCTTTCTAATAAGTCCCTGAAATCCTGGAGATGTACAGATATATGATAAGGGCTTTAAAAAAACGACCCAACATTACACATAATAAAGAATTTATTGTATAATCCACAGTTTGGAAAAACCCTGGTTTTGTGTTAAAAGTGCACGTTCTATTTCTGTGAAGCTAGCAGGACACACAAGACCCCGACATAATCTACATTTTAGACGGATATTTCTGGTGGCACTGATGTGCGGCAACTTAGCTTCTCTTATGGGAAGGTTTGGATAATTTGGTTATCACATGGACACCAAGTTTAGGGTTTTCAGCAGAATCACTTGAACAATTTAAAAACTTTTCCATTCTAAGCATACACCACTCAGCTGCCCTGAACCTGTGCTTTCTAATCTGTTAAACAGAGAACACCTTGGGCCACCTACTTCAATGAGGTGTCCTGAGGCCAGATGAAGCTCAAGGTGGTTTGAGTTCCTTGGCAGAAAAGTTCACGTGACAGGGGACGACCTTGCGGGCAGAGGCATATTTGCATATGTGAAAACTGGTTTATCAGTAGGTTTATCAATATTCCTAAGGTTAGGGGGTGAGGATGACATGGAAGGTTGGGATGATGGCAGAATGGGGGTGGAAGCCACAGGTAGAGGGGAGAATAGGACGCACCCTGGGACTTGATGGAAGGCCAGTATGTCCTGGAGACAGAGAGAGCCAGAGCTGGAGCTGGAGCTGGGCTGGCTAAAGTTCTACGGAGTGTTGTAGACCAGTTCCGATTCTGAGGGGACAGCACATGCTGGAAAGCCGTGGAGAATACAAGATGGGGGTCCCAAGAAGGAGAGGTGCAGGAGCTGTTCAGGTATGTCTGGAGCACAGGGACAACTATGCCCAAGGGTGTCCCAGGCAGAGTGCACGAGTCTATTTCACGCCCCTTTCCACGTCTCCACCCTTCCCAATACAGCTTACTTCCTCACGAATCACGTGGACAAACCTGGCAGTCCCTCGTTTCCGATCCTATTCATTTCCCTCCCTCTTCAGAGGGCAAGAATGTTCTTAGATGAGAAGATAAGGTCATAAGGAAACCTAGAAAGGGCAACTTTCCAGAAGACTGCTGAAGGCCGGGCTACCCGGAGCTCCCAACTGTGCCTGGGCCGAGATGGGACTGGCCGAGACGTCTGGGTCTCCAACCTCAGCTTTCCTCAGAGAGGAGGGGGCTCTCTGCTGGGCGGCATCCTCATGCTGGGACTCCAAACGCTGTTGGGAGAGGACTGTTTTAAAAATAAAATGTACCATCCTATGGGCAGCATGTGGAATGGACTCCTCTTTCTTGAGGGACCAACACAATATTGGTGTAGTTGTTTTCTCTGAATGCTTCCTCTCTGTTGTTCTCTCTTCAGAGATTGACTACTCCATAAAATCACAGACAAGAAAATAATCTCCGCTAAGAGCTCTGCTTAAAAATGTTACCATGCAACTCCAGATGTCTTGAAAGTCCCTTCAGCTAGTGGAATTCATAGTGGTAAAGCCATCATGAAAAGCAGTTTCTCAGGAGAAGGATGGGAAACAACCCCCACTCCCAAAAAGAAAAGCAGTTTTTTTCAAGTATTCTCAAGTATTCCAGCAAATTTAACAAGCTAAATAAAGGGAGTTTTTGAACATTATTTGGCACATAGCAGGCACTCAATAAATACTGGCTGAATGTTACTTAACTATTGGAAATAATTCAGTTAACTTTGTATTTATATATTGAAATGTTCTTTAAGTAGCTCTTCAAATATATTTAGATAGCTCAGACATAAAATTCTAAAATATAATTTTGCTAAAAAATGCACATATAAATGGGTAGCATTAACATGCTGAATTGAGTTTCCAGTGGAGAGTTCAGAAACGCTTGGAAACTTCATCTACAGATAGTCGTAACTAAAAGTCATCATTCCTCTGGTTATTGCAGATCAGGGATACTTTATTTGGATCCATGGACTCCTGGAATTACATGCAACAGCAAACGAGTTGATTTTTATGTGCGTTTTTCTGGAGAAAGGAGCCACAGCTTTCATCAAATTATCAAAGGCTTTGTGAGCTTAAAAAAAAAAAAAGGTTAAGAATCACTCTGTTGATGAATGAGATTCCAACAGGCGCTTGTATTGCTTAATTCATGTCTCCTACGGACTCTCAGGCCCAGCAGGAATACGAGAATTCCCCAAGCTTAAATTACTCTAATACTTGGTTACAATTCTTTGGAGTCATGTTATTTAAAAAGCCAATTTTTATGAAGGAACTGTATGAAAATAGACGCTTGGGAGATCTGAAATGTACACATATATAGTGTGCACTTTTTCTTAATTGCTTCCTCTCACGTAGCTCCTTCTCCAGTTAGCTTCACTCTCCCGGTACTCGGGATCTATTCCAGGTGGCCACAGCGATGGATTCTCACAGCAGGGAAAAGCAACCACGTGAAAGATTTCAGACGAAAGAGAAATCACAAATGGTAAATTCTGGGGCTTACTGCAAAAAGTACAGGCTGCCTTTCCTGACTGAGAAATCCTCCAAGTCCCTCAGTGCCCCTGTTAGTAGAAAGACCCAAATCCTTACAAGACCTTCAGTGAAGCAAAGAAGATGCATTATTCACTAACCTGGAAGGGTTGCTAGGGACACCCGCAGCACCGTCTCGGGGAAGAAAGTGTGCCCTCGCCAACAAGTAGGGTCTTCTCGGGTACTGGACTCCAGCAGAGAGTCACCTAGAAGATGAGCAATGACTGGAAGCCGTGTCTGCATCTCCCTTTGAGAGTGCAAGAGAACCTTTGTGCCCTGAAGTAGCTCAAGAATACCTGACTCACCTGAGGAAGAGGCCCTAGCCCTTAGCAGATCCATTGTTTGGCCTCAGATTTGAAGGTGTTGTGAGCCCCTAAGATGTGTACAAAATGGCATGTGTGTTTTTCTGGGAAGAGGCTCTGTGACTTCAAACAGATTCTGGAATGGCTTTGTGACATCCCAAAACATTAGGGACCACTATGATATAGGTATCTACAGTCACTCTGTAAGGGAGACACTGCTTTTCAGAAAGCCTACTTTGTTTTCTCAGTTAATTCCTTCCCTTAAGATGCTGCAGAAAAAACTACTTAGAAGGCCCAATAAAATGGGGAAATTGTCATAAGCAAAACTTGTCCTGCAACCTGATTTTTTAATAAAAATTCCATGTAAAAATAAATACTTCTCAAAGTTAATTGTAGCAAATATGTGCATTAAAAAAAAACCCCACATACACAACCAGGGTATTTTAATTGCCCTGTTTTTGAAATAATGGTATGAAGGACAAGCAAACCTTCTAATTTCAGCCACAAATTGCAGAAAACACAGAGTCCAAGGAGAACTACCCTCACCTCTGAAGCAGTGGTGAGGATCTTTTCAATGAGGAAATACCAGGCGTCAAATATTTAGATTTTGGAATATTTTAATGTCCATTTCTTCAGTGAATGCATTTTGAAATTATTAGAATTAACAATTTAAAAAGAGCAGATCAAAGGAAATATGGAAAATGCAAACAGTTGGTTAATTTCAGATTCTAGGCATGGTATGATTTTTGAAACAACCAATCAAAAAACACTTAACCTTGAGAATCTAGAAATTCAAATGCAGACGTATCTTTGGAAACTACAAATGATTACAGCCCAAGTAACGAGAAGCACGCGGCCCTTTGGCTCACCGTGTCATGTGCAAATGTGCAGGTGTAGTCCCCATGAGTGAAGTCAGTGTCGATGGAGTCATGCGCAGGTGTGGCACAATCTGTGGGACCCTCAAGCTATTTAAGGGTTTCTTCATAACTGATGCTCTACATTTGTTTGCATTGGATAAAATTACGTGTGCTTGTTTATTGTATATGTATGTATCATTCGATCTGAGCTGGGGCTGAGAAGAAAAGAGCAACTGCAACTCAAAGCAACTATTTACACACATTCAGTTCTGAAGTATTGCTTCCTGCCCTAAGTTCCTAAGAGGTATTGCCACCCTGAAGAACTATCCATCCTGTCGATAGCACTTGAGCCCACTGCTTAGGAACCTGTGTGTCTCTAGCAACTATTTGTTCAGTGCCAAGAGATTGAGACGCACAACTTTTCTGCCGCAGAGATTCTGTGGTTCTGCACTGAGGTATGCGCTTCGGAGCAGGGAAGTAGAAGGACCCGAGGGGCTTGATGGCCCAGAGAGAACATCTGCACTGGTTATTTAAGAAGGCTCAGGGTGGTTGTTAAAGACAATTTTAAACTCTGGGTGAGCTGCCCTTTGTCAGAGGCTCCTACTCGCACAATGCTGAACCAGACTTCAGTTTTGCAGCTCTGTAGGTTCCCAGGGTGAGGAAATCACAGACACCTTTGTGGTGGGGGATGGAAAAGAGTTTGATGGGGAAGACTGTATGCAGAGATGAACTTTGTAGAGCACATTTTGAGCACGACAGCAAAGACATCAGCAACCGCCCAGCCCCTCAAAGCTAAGCAGCCTGGAGGTGGGAGGCAAAGGAGAGGACATTCAAATACACACCTTAATACTGATGGCAGAAAAAATCCTAATGTGCCCACAACCCCTACGTACAAACAAGGAAAGCATCAGGTAGTGTTTTTTTTTTTAAGAAAAAAAATCTGCGGTGTTTTATAAGAATACATTCTTTAGAAGCAAGAGGTATTATCACAGCCATCTTTTCTTCAGTATTGGAAGACCAACAAACTGACAACAAAACCTGGAGGAAAATCTAAAAGTTACTGAGAATGCTCCCAACCCCCGGATGTTGGCATCCTGGCTCCAGCTGTGCTGCGGGGCGGCTGTCCCAGGCACATCCCCTGGAAGGAGGTGGGTCAGAATCACTATTTCACTATGCTGGAAATGGGAGATCTGTACGTTTTTGGGGGGAGGAGTGATGCTGGGACTTGATGCAGCTGTGAGATTTAGTGAGATTTACCAGTGACAAGCAGACACACAGGGCATGCCAGGAAAGACCAACAGACCAACAGTTCGTCACCAGGGTCACCTGGAAGAATAATGATGATGGCACCTGGGCAACTCTGGCGTGAGTTCACTGTGACATAAACTTCAGACTCAACACAGCAAAACATAATTACAAACAGGATCAAAAACCAAAAGCGTAGAAGCAATTTTCCTCTCAGGTTTTCTCTCCTCCTCCTGGCTGGACACCTCATTTGCACACAGATGACTCTGTCCCTAAGTACAGTGTAAGGACACCACCTCAAGAAGCTGGGATTAGCTCACAAGACTAAATCCTGTCACGAATAGGCCCTGTGCAGTCTGAGAGTGGGAGATAAGGAAGAAACTTCCCGAATCTGTGGAAGTCAGGATAGTGCTGGCGCTGCCTGCCCAGCCAGGTTCCGTCCGGAGCTCCACAGGGAGCAGCCTTGGAGATGTCAGGGGCAGCTGGCGAGCTTCCCCCAGCCCTAGAACTGCACTGGACATGGCTCAGGATCCTGCTCATCCCCTCTCACAGGGAGGAGGCCCCAAGTGGCCAAAACACTAAGAGATATCTTGTCATCATCCTATGAACTCCCCCACCCCACAGGCTATTTCCTTCCACCCAGAAAAACCCGGCACCCCTTCCCAAACACACACTGCCTGATAAATAAATAAATAAATAAAGGCGACCCTCTGACATTTATTTGGAGTTTCCCCCTTAGACGTGTCAGCTTCCAAGACAAACACCCTCACCCCCGACGGGCAGACCCCTCAGCGGAGGGTTAGGATGAACGGCTTTAAGATACCTGAGGCCTGGGTGCACAGGCTTTGTGCCCGGTGAGCATCTGTAATCTCGGCCTGCATGTGGCGGAACCCCTGAAGCCCTTCGGAGTAGGGAGCTCGGTGCACCCACAGCCTACGAAGGCCCAGGTACCCAGGAAGGCGCAGGTGCCCACGCTCCCCTCTGGCATCCCCTCTCGGTGAATTACTGGCACTTTATATCAGATTCAGAAATGCAAGTATGTGCGTGTATGTGCTTACATAGAAAGGTCAGGTAACTGGGAAACACTATTATGGATACAGAAAAAAATAAAATAAAAACATTGCATTAGGCCCCCCCCCTAAAAAAAAAAGTGTCTCGTGAGAAAAAGCAATGAAAATGATATCTTAACCACAGCTTTTGTTTTAAATGTCAAATAATACCCAAAGCCATGATTTCCACTGTGGCCTCTGTCCCTAGACTCCAGGCCAAGGCCAAGCCCTGAAGGCACTTGTTCCCCTCCACGTGCTGAGCGGATACCCGAAGGGGGAGAGTGCAGGAAAGGGAGCAAAGGGAAAGAAATGGATGAAAATGAACCCTGAATAACTGTGATCCACACAGAAGTTAGGGTTGAAATGACCACATAACACCACGTCCAGGGACGGAAACTGTGGCGCTTAGAAAGCATTACAGCCAAATACAAATATTGTGTTTCAACGAACAGAGCACCTCGGGCAGCCTGCGGGTGCTGCCTCACACACTCTTTGAAACGTTGAGCTTGGTGAGTTCATTGGCTTCTTCCATTCCCATTTCTTCACAGTCGTTTTTCTCTATGGCTTGGCCAAACCGAAACTTTTCTTCGGCTTTGATGGGCTCCTTCCAGGGTCTCTTGGAGGACAGGCGAGTGTCCTTGGCTTGTGTGCTGTTATCAGAGCCCAGAGACGTCTTGTCCGGATACTGGACAGAAGGCACCAGGTTGGCAATCTCGTCTGTGGGAGACCGTCCAATGCTGCCATCCACCTGGACGCGGATGTCTGGGGAGATGGACAGTTGGTGCTGTGGCACTACCCCGTTGTCCGTGCACTTTGGGTAAAGGTAGGTCTTCATCTGGCCCTTCCCCTTGACATTCACCGTCCCCCTGTAGTCAAAGTCGTAGCCCATCTTGCTCAAGACACGGTAGCTCTCTTCACTCACCTGGATGCGGCACTCGACACCAGTGGTGTCCATCCTACTGGCGATGTTGACCGTATCCCCCCAGATGTCGTACAGCAGCTTAGTGGTGCCAATGACCCCAGCCGTGAGGGGCCCATGGTTAAAGCCGACTCTGAGCTTAAAGTTGAACCACAGCATGTTGTTGTTGAAGTCGTCCACCACGCGCATCATCTCCTTGGCGAACTCGAACAGGATCTGCAGGTGCTCTTGTGGGTGGCTGCCATCCTGGGCCTGGGCGGTGTTCAGCCCCGACGCTGCCATGTATGTGGCCCCGATGGTCTTGATCTTCTCAACACTGCTGTAGTCTGGCTTGCTGAGGAGCTCATCAAAGTCGCCGATGAGCTCGTTGAGCACCCGGTAGCACTCCTTGCCTCCTTCATAGTTTTCCTCGTAGAACTCGCCAAAGTTGACGATGCTGGCGAAGATCACGCCTCCGCTGTCGTGGTTCTTGGAATAGGTCTGGGACACCTTCAGCTGCTCAGCCACGTGGTAGGGGATGATGTTACGCAGCAGCCAGTCGGCCTGGTCCCTCATGCTCTGGATCTTGGTACGGTGAAGATCCGCTTCCACATCGCCGTGGTAGTGGAGGCGGTAGCTGACTTCGAATTCTCGGTTCAGGAACCAGACCAACAAGAGCAGGAGGAAGAAGACAAGAATCACCTCCTGGCCAATCAGACTGGCTGGCCTCCTGAGGTCACGTGGCAACGAGCTATTGCATGGATTCCTCTCGGAGCTGGAGAGCAAAGACATGAGAAAGGACATACCTTCTGAGTGCATCTTTGAAGGAAAAGGTTACAACTCAGTACTTGCAAGCTCTGAAACAGCCCAACTAACCAGCATGCAAAGTTTCACTGAGTTCAAACCTTCAGCAACCTGAAGCCATAAAGCAGCCCGCCTCTGGTTTTGGCTGGCTGAAGAAGCTGAGAGATAATAACCAACTATCATTAACTGATTTTTTGTAATTGCCTTTTTTTTTTCTAGAAGTCTTTAGCTTCTTTTAAAGCTTTTTTCCCCATCTTTTAATTTTAAGAAATCTCAACATTATAGAAAAGTTATAAGACTAGAAAACAAACACTCATATACCTTTACCCTGTACTCAACAACTGTTAATATTTTGCCATTTTGCTTTCTCTGTCTCTGTCTCTGTCTCTGTCTCTGTCTCTGTCTCTGTCTCTCTCTCACACACACACGTTTTGCTGAATATTTTGAAAGTAAGTTGCTGACATGACACTTCAGTTCTAAATATTTCAGTACATATGTCTTAAGAATAAGGATGGTTCTCTATATAACGACAATATCAGTATTATACCTAAGAAATTGAACATTCTCTGATATATTTGCTTCTTAGATTTCTAATCCAACAGACTTGTCATTTTACAAAGAACTTTTATAAGTGCTCTACTCTCTACCTATATAAAAGTTTGACACAATGCCATCTCCCTCGACTCTGGGTTAGTTCTGTTTTGCCTGTGTCATCAAAGGCAACTTTAACATTTTAAAAAAAGAATGTAAGTGTATACTTTTAAGAGTAGTATACACACACTATAAGAAACTCAAATGGTATAAACAATAGAAAACAAGCGTCTTTCCTCTGAGGTACCCGCTGTTGTAACTCTCTGTGGTTGCAGAGTGTTCCTGTACATGGATGTCCTGTAATTTATTCAGATTACTCTCAGTGGACTAGGAGGCCTTGTGTACAATTTTTCCTACCACAAACCATGCTGCAATGAATATTCCTCTACCCCATCTTCTTGCATATGGAATTGCTGAGTCATTTGAAATACTGCACATTTAGAATTTCATTAGAAATTTCCAAATTGTCCTAAGACACTGAACACATTTTTATTCCCTCTGATAACTGAACCAGCTTTCAGGGGGGCTGTTCTCTGGCTTGATGATATTGATGGGAAACAGTTGTGGTCAGAGACTGCAGATGACTGGCCAGCAGCAAAATCTCTTTTAAAATTTCTTAAATATAATTTTTTTCCATTTAAAAATACTACATACTCATCATAAAAAATTTTGGGGAAAAGTAGAAACAAACAAACAAAATAATTCATCCACTGTCCCACCATCCAAAGATAATCACCATTAACATTTGTTGAATTTCCTTCTAGTCATTTTTTATTTTTTTACAACACTGTGAATGTTCTGTTCATATAAATTTTGCAGCCTGAAGCATTTCTCAAGTGCACAGAGCAGGCTACTAGATTTTATGTAATAATGGGCTTGGTTACTACATAATTATATATAAAATTGATGGATCCTTTGGGTTTCTATAGCTCCATGACACAGAAAGCTCAATTTTTTTGTCTTTTTTTTTGAGACAGGTCTTGCTCTGTTGCCCAGGCTGGAGTGTAGTGGCATGACCATAGTTCGCTGTAACCTCAAACTCCTGGGCTAAGGCAATCTTCCTATCTCAGCCTCCCAAGTAGCTGGGACTACAGGCATGTGCCACCATGTCTGGCTAATATTTCATAGAGATGGGTCTTGCTATGTTGCCCAGGCTTATCTTGAATGCTTGGCATCAAGTGATTCTCCTGCTTCGGCCTCCCAAAGTGCTAGTATTACAGGCATGAACTACCATGACCAGCCTTGATTCTCTAATCAAAATATTTAATAATTTTTACTCATAATTGTGACTTAAGGATATTAAAAAATAATGAACTTGACCAATGCAGCCATCATAGCCCTCCATGAAGCACAGTTACAAAAGCTCTGGCTTTGGAGTAGAATACCTGGGCTTTATCTGGCTGGACCACAGTAGAGTCCTGGAACCTTAGGAAAGCCATACTATCCTTCTGGGCCTCAACTTCCTCACATGTAAACTGTGAAGATGGACTAGAGTATGGCTACATTCCTTCTGGCTAAGATTCTGTGCAGAAAAGAGGTACCTGAGGCTGTCACCCTCAGAAACACCTGCCTGCAAGGGTGGCCCTCGGCTGGCATCAGGGAGCTTGGATTTGGGGAGAGTTCCCACCATTCCTTGATAAGAGTGGCTCACAAAGCCTATGCTGTTTGTATGTGAGTTTTATGCTGAAGACCTGCTTTCTTTCCGGAAGTCTAGAATTTTGGCACATGCTGGGCAGAGGCTGCCTACCTGACCAGCTCCTAATAAAACCCTGGGTATAGGGTCTCTAATGAGCTTCCCTGGTAGATAACACTTCACATATGCTGCCACAACTCATTGCTCGAGGAATTAAGCACATCCTGTGGACTCTACTGGGAGAGGACTCTTAGAAACTGCTGCTTTCCTCCAAACTTCATCTCACGTATCTTTTCCCTTTGCTGATTTTACTTTGTGTCCTTTCACTGTAATACATCATAGCCATGAGTATGACAATGTGCTTGGTCCTTTAAGTCCACCTGGGGATGGTCTTGGGGACTCCAACATAGGTTCTATGACTCAACGCTTATGAGCCAGGAACCAAAAATGTCCTCTAGGGTAAGGCACCCCATGTGTCACTTATTTATTGAAATAAATGACAATACATATCATGAATCTCAAGTACTAAGCCAAACAACTATTTATGTTAGATGACCAAAACATATTTATGTCCAGCCCCTTAAGTCCTCTGGATGGCTTTTAAATAGAGTGGGGAGAGAATCTAAAATAGGAAGAAGATTTCTCTTTTTGTGAGCACATCTTGTTGGGTTAGGAGTTGTTTTGGTTTCTCAAAGTGGTGATACCAAGGAAAAGCCCCCTTTGTAAGAAGATGTCACCAAGGTTTAACATCAACGGAATGGTACGATGAAGTATTTAAAATCTCTGTGGTAGGATTGGGTGACTTTATCTGGGTTTCCTCAATCGATTACTCTTGTAGCTTTTCCTGCTTTGCTGCTGCCGGGGCCAGCAGTGGGGCCCTACTCTGGAGATGGGTACAGGCCAGTCCTCTCTGGCAGAGGGAACAGCAAAACCTGGGCTAGTGTGAGAGGGAAAGGGAAACAGATTACAGCCTTGGCTTTTTACCTTTGTTTAAAGGAGAAAAAGTCCTAATGCATACATAGTATTTATGGTTAGTAGCCAAGGGGGCTGCCTCACAACAGAGGATGTCTGTAACGAGCAGGTGAGAGAATTACTTCCAATCTATAGCCTGTATTTCTTATTCTAATACAGAAGGAACAAAGGTGATGCTCCTGTTCTCAAATTCAAATAGCAAAAGTCAGTTTCAAAAAGAGGATTTTTATGTGACTAAATGCAAGAGTCAATTTATGACCACAGTTGGATGTTAAAGCATAAGTGGAGTTAGAGTAAAATATAGCATAATCGATTGTCATGGAGAAGAAGAATTTGAGAATAGAGAAAACAAAGATCACTCTCAGTCCTAACCAGCTAAGCAAAGCATTTGTTCTCACTTTGGTGTATTTCAGTGCCGTTTACAATCTACACCTAGGATGCAGTGAGGGAGAGGGTGTCACAAGAGGGGACTGGGGGGGCTTCTGGGGTGCTGGTAATGTTCTATTTCTTGGTCTGGGTGGTAGTTAAATGAGTATGATCACTAGTGAAAATTCAGTGAGCTAAACTCTTATGATCCAGGTATATGTTAATATGGCAATAAAATGTTAACTTCAAAAAAGATGCTAGGTGTTTTGCTTTTAAATACTATAGTTGCAATCATCACTCATTATATCATAAATAGTATATCTCCTATAATTTTTATATATGTAATTACTTAGTTGTAGCTATTTTAATACATACACAATTTCACATAATAAATGAAAATCATGTTTTCCATTATTTGCATTTTAATAGTTGTATCTGAGTGCATTTATCATAACAATTTCTTTATTATTGACAACTGAAGTTGCAATGGATTTTCAATATTATCACTCATTGTGATTGATATTTTCTGGCATGCCGCCTTTGCCACATACTGAATTATTGCCTTAGCAAATAAGCAAAAAATGGAATTATCAGGTTGAAGACTATGAACATTTTTATGACTGTTTTTTACAGATTGCCACGTTACTTTCCAAAACTATTGCAATGTTCTGAGAAGTAATGAGGCATGGCAGGAAGAACACGGCCCAGGAGTGAGGGAGGCCAGGGTCTAAGCTCTGCCAAGGACTAGCTGTGTGACCACAAGCAGGTTCCTTAACTTCTCTGAGCCTTGGCTTCATCATCTAAAAAATGGGGACAAAGTCACCTAATATACCAGGTTATTGTGCGGATTAAATAAACTTATATTTTAAATGCCTCGTAGCTAACAAAAAATTAACCACAATTTATCAATGTACCACACCCTTGCCTGCACTGGGCATTCATGTTATAACTTTTTGAAACTCCAATTTAAAAGCCCAAAATGAATGATTATTTGTCAATTAAAAAAAAATACCATTCCAATTAAGAGACTAGTCAGAGAAAAAAAGACCAAAAGGAATTGTGCAGTTATTTGGATGTGCAGTGATACTGTGTACACTTCCACATTTGTCTTCTACCCACATTTCCTCTTTTGTGAATTTATTGGTTTCTGTCCTTTATGCAGGTCTTAATTTGCTCTTTTATATAATAGTCCCACACATATTTTTTGTTTGCCTTGATTTCCTCTCCCTTCCTCTCTAATTTATTAGTCAGTTGTTTCTTTGTGGTTCTATTTTTTATTTGTAAAACTAGAAAGTTCTGTTTTAGAAGTTTGAAAACTATTTAATTTTTTCTAGATTTTATATAGTTTAGTTTTTATTTTTGACTCAAGATTTTTAGAATTCATGCTGATGTTTACAGTAAAGCAAGGGTCTGACATTTATTATTTCAAAGTTATAGTCAGTTATTTAAAAATATTTTAGGAAATAACTATTTTTGATTTGTGAGATGTCTTTTGTAACATCCTAAAGTATTACGTGAAATTATACCAACTCTAATATATGTCTAAATAATCATCTTATTTTCCCAATTATATATTATAACTATGATCTGATACTTTAACAAGTAGGTATTTTCCACTTCCTCTTTTAAGAATGCATGTATTGTTCATTTTATTTAAGATACGACTGTTTTCAGGAAGCTTATAAATGAGCAGGAGTAACACAGTCACCCATGTATTTAGATATAGGTACAGAAGTTTACCTGAAATTCTGTACTGCATCAAGAGGTGACGTTACTATGGAACTGCAATTAAAACACAGAAAAACATCATTATAAAAAGCAAAGACAGCACTCTAGAAAGCAACCTGAGAAGAGCTTAAACAAACAACTTTCCTTTTTAGACAGGATGGCGCCGTTGTCATAATCCATGCACGCCCACCGCTGCTTCCACGTCTTTGTTCCCCAATGCTGGGGACAGTCCTTGGAAAAGCCCTCTGCCCCTTTGCTGAGGTTATGCCTCTGTTTACCACCCATACACTCCCTGCCTGGCTGGGCGCAGCTACACTGAAGGGGAGGGGACTCCACCTAAGTAAGAGGACCCTGCGGGTAAAGGAATCCTGGTAAGGGGAGCTCCTACCACCAACCCTGCCCGGAGAGCTGCTACCTGAGCTCTGGGTGAAAAGGCAACAGAGGGTCCCTCACCCCTTTGGCTCTCTAGATCTGGGTGGAAAATCCCCATGGCTGTGACCAAATGATACTCTGAATGGCTAATGAGATTTCTGTGATGGAGCTAAAAGGTTAATAGCAGATTGCTGCATTTCATCCTCTCAGTAAAGAGCTTCATAATGACCATGATCCCAGATGGCCACACCTTCACAACAATAAAAGTATACTTGATTTTGCTTAAAGTAATTTAACTATTCTTTACAATTTCCTTTCAAATACTGAACGACAGTTCTACTTTAAATTTCCTTTTTGATCTTAATGTGCAGGGAATTTGAATATCTTTTATATTGTTATTATCTTATTAAGTAAATTGAGGAAGGAGATTTACTCTGTCCATTACTGACCACTGCTTTAATACTCAAGAATACCTATGACTATTACATTTCCTACTGCTGAGAGGGCAACAAGTTAGATCATTTTTGTGCTTCTGAATTCACTAAGGTAACAGTAATGCTAGTCCTAGGAGGCATCTTGGAAATGTTAAGGGTCCCTCTGCTTGTCATAATAATTTTGGGAGCTGGAATGTTAGCTGCCCTGCAAAGCACAGTAAAAAAATGTCTCATGGAACTTTAAACTATCCTGCTTGCTTAAACCCTCTGTAATTGTAAATAGGTGGTTCCTGAATACATGCTAACAGTGAAACATTTGTAAGCAGTTCCAGAAAAAGGCCAATGTCATTATTCCTAGGACTCGTGGCATAATATGGGGAATTGTTTTGACACAAGACTTGTAAATAAGGCCCAGGTCATTTGCAAGATCACCCCATGTCTTCACTTCCTCTCCTTCCACAATCTGGAGCCTGTCTTGGTACCTGAGCCCTACTTCAATAGGTCAGAACCAGCAGCTTCCTCATTTTCGCCTCTAGTCTTTGATCCTCTTGACTGTCTTCCATGTCTTCAGGTCTCACCTTCTTAGATTCCAACTCATGTGACTGCTAAATTACGTCTTCCAAGGGTGTCTATATTCAAATATATGGTATGTTGTTATAAATGATTTTCTTTTTCTTTCTTTTGCATATTACTCTCAGGGCATCTTATTAACTTTTTGACATGGTATGTGTTGAAAGCTATTTTGGGCCATGATGGTAAACAACTGTGATTGGGGAGGGTGTCAGTGCCAACGTGCAAACTTGGCCAGGCCTGAGCCAGGCACAGTGTGCCTGACATGCAGCACGGGTTGCGTACCTGTCTGGGCACAGGGAGACGTAGAGCAGAAGCAGTGGCCCAGCCCCAACGACAGTGGCGAGGGAGGACCTCATCCAGGAGCTGAGCTGGCAGAAGTTACAGTAGTGCACCACAGCGATCAGCGTGGCTGAGCCAGTGAACACGGGGAACTGTAAGAGGTGCAGAGTTAGTGATGGCCGCCCACCTTCCCACCACACACCCCCTGGGCCCTACCTGAGATTTCAGAAGCATTTGCCACTCACCTGTATATCTGCTTAATATAAAAATACTGCTGATACAACCAAATGGCTTATCTACCTGCAATAATTCTTTCTTTTGGCTAGCCAGCAGTCTCAAGGACAGATCAAACCCCTTTAGGTTCTTTATCCAGAGCGTTAGGTTACAAGTGCACACTGGTAATAACACTCTTCTCCAGATGTGTGGAAATGGCACATTGTTCTGGTGGAAAGAAAGGCTGCCTCGTTTGAGAACTACCACCTTCAAAAAGCTTTTCCTTTGGGCACCTACCCACTACCCACTGAAATATAATCTCGTGTTAAAGTACCAAATGCAGTCTTCCTGCCCTGGTAGCTGTTATACTCACTTGTACCAAAAATACAAGCTTCCATAACAGCATTAGTTCATTTTTAATGGAGTTTAACTCAAAAAATCCTTTCCTGATCAACAGCAGCCAATCCAGGTACAAGTCGATTACTTCTGCCAATTCTTCTTCTTCTTCTTCTTTTTTTTTTTTTTTTTTTTTTTTTGAGAAAGTCTTGCTTTGTCACCCCAGGTAAAGTGCAGTGGCGTAATCATAGCTCCCTGAACCTCAAACTCCTGGGCTCAAGTGATCCTCCTGCTTCAGCCTCCTAAGTAGCTGGAACTACAAGCACATGCCACCATGCCTGGCTGATTTTTTTTTTTTTTTCCTATTTTTAGTAGAGAGAGGGCCTCACTCTTACTCAGGCTGGTCTCAAACTCCTGATCTCAAACGATCCTCCCGCTCAGCCTCCCAGAGTGCTAGGATTTCTGCCAATTCTGCAGACTGGCACATTAGCGTTTATTGTCTAGAAATGTGGGACAGATGCTTGTTTGTAAAGCATGAAGGAAAAGAACTGACTTGAAACTTGGTGAGGACCAGTGACACTGAAGAGGACTTGTGCCCACTGGGGAGTCTCTGCAGCCTGGCCAACAACAGGGCATGAGCACCTAGACAGGCCTGTGCCAAATCATCTTCTAAAAAGGCTCAAGGTGGCTGGGCACAGTGGCTCACGCCTGTAATCCTAGCTCTCTGGGAGGCCAAGGCGGGCAGATTGCTCGAGGTCAGGAGTTCGAAACCAGCCTGAGCAAGAGCGAGACCCTGTCTCTACTATAAATAGAAAGAAATTAATTGGCCAACTATTATATATAGAAAAAATTAGCCGGGCATGGTGGTGCATGCCTGTAGTCACAGCTACTTGGGAGGCTGAGGCAGAACGATTGCTTGAGCCCAGGAGTTTGAGGTTGCTGTGAGCTAGGCTGATGCCACGGCACTCACTCTAGCCTGTGCAACAAAGTGAGACTCTGTCTCAAAAAAAAAAAAAAAAAAAAGGCTCAAGGTAATACCAGAGTTGTACCTCTTTAAGGGCCTATTTTTAAATTGCCGTCCCAAGTAACAGCTTATTTGAAAAGAGAGAGAGATTTGAAAGTCCAGAAGAATGGGGAAATAAAATTGCCATGTCTTTACTTACGTGTATGTTTGTCTCAAACTCGGAGGTGACATGCGAGTAGACAGCGAGTGCTGGCAGCGACACCAGGATGGCCCCAATGCAGTGGCGTGGGAGCCAGCCAGCGATGCACTCCAGCAGGCGCTTCGTGCAAGCCATGACGTCCTCCAGGAAAAACACCATCCTGTAGGGGAGGGTCTGCAGTGGGTCTCTGCCAGGGGAGATGGGGACAGGCCCCCCCTACTTTCCCCCGTGCTGCTGTCAATGCTCTGGGGTGGGCATGGGAGCAGGCAGAGCCCCACTTTTCTCACTTTTGGTAGAAGACAAGGAAACTGGGCTCACTCAGCTGCAGTGCATTGACAGCTTTCGTTATGTGTGGCCACGGCAAAGAAATACTGACTCTCTGGCCATTTCCCACACGGGTGCAGGCACAGTCTAACCCTTTTAGGATTCTGGACAGCTCTGGCTTCCTGATATTTAAAGGATAACAAAGGCCTTGGACTATTTCCAAGAATAACCACAAATATGCTCAAAGGCAGAATACAGAGGCCCTATGAGGAGTGACAGAGGGAACTGAGTCCCCAGCCTGGGGGGCCCTTCTCGATGGTCCCTGAGCCTGCAGAGGTCCGAGGACAACACCAACTGCCCTCATGCTTGGCTAGGGCTGCAGTGGCAGAATGAAACCCAGAGCTGAGATGCGGGAAGCTTTCTGGATGAGGCAGGTGAGACCTCGCACCAGGCTGAGAAGGCAGCACAACTGGTTTCTCTGGGGATCCTACGTATTCCACAGTGCAGATCGTTACTGACCTAGGATCCCAATTATGGCCCTCAGAGGAACCAGAGAAAATCTTCCAGGGTCCTGACTTCTCCTAGGCCTTGATTCCTGGTAAACTGAACTAAATCCCACTACATGCTCATGTGGGAGCACATTGGCCCCCTCATTCATGGGATGCCTGCAGAGCAAGTCCGTGCCGCTGGGCCCAGCACAGCACACTCCCAGCCCTCATGGTCTCTGAACCCAGGCTAGCCTCCATCCTTCAGAACGGGGCCTGCAGGAACAGGGCATAGTGGTTAAAGAAAAAGGTGTGGAGATGCTGCTTGCCTCAGAGCCATTAAGAGGCTACAGGCTCCCGTATCAGAGGGGAATCCAGGGGTGGGCTAGGGAGGGTGGACGTGGTGGGAATGACTGTAAATGGGGATGAGTTTCCTTTTCAGAAGATAGAACTATCCTAAAATTATACTGTAGTGATGTTTCTACAACTCTGTCAATTTACTAAAAGGCATAGGCTGACAAGCATCTTGCTGAGAGTGACAGGGCCAGATAAGGTGCTCGTGGGTAACATGGGGCAATCTGCCTGCACGTGAATGGAGCATGCTGAGTGTCTGCACTGGGTAAGGGTTCCAGGCTGGTCCTGCAGGCCCAGCTTCCCCAAGAAGCACCTGTGATCTACTCAGATCCTCTTTTTAAAAACAGGTTGTCTTTTTCTTATTGGGCTGTATGGGTTCTTTATACAATAGTCTAGATAGTAGACCCTTGTCAGATCTGATCTGCAAATATTTCCTCTCATTCTGTGGGTTCTCTTTGCTCTCTTCTTCCCCTTCCCTTTTTTTCTTTTTTTGAGAAAAGGTCTCACTGTTGCCCAGGCTGGAGTGCAGAAGCGTCATCACAGCTCACTGCAACCTCAAACTCCTGGCCTCCGAAAGTGTTGGGATTATAGGTGTGAGCCACCATGCCTGGCCTCTCTTTACTTTCTTGATGGTGTTCTTTGCAGCACAAAGTTTAAAAATTTTTTTTTTTTTTTGAGAAAGAGTATCGCTTTGTTGCCCAGGCTAGAGTGAGTGCTGTGGCGTCAGCCTAGCTCACAACCACCTCATACGCCTGGGCTCAAGCAATCCTTCTGCCTCAGCCTCCCAAGTAGCCAGGACTATAGGCATGCACCACCATGCCCGGATAATTTTTTCTATATATATTAGTTGGCTAATTAATTTCTTTCTATTTATAGTAGAGGCGGGGTCTCCCTCTTGCTCAGGCTGGTTTCGAACTCCTGACCTTGAGCAATCTGCCCGCCTTGGCCTCCCAGAGTGCTAGGATTACAGGTGTGAGCCACCGCACCCGGCCACAAAGTTTTAAATTTTGATGAAGTCAAACTTACTTATTTTTCCTTTTGTTGTTTGTGCTTTTGGTGTCACATCTAAGAGACCACCAGCTAATCTCAGCTTGTGAAGATTTGCACCTGTGGCTTCCTCTGAGGTTTGTGGTTTGGCTCTTACATGTGGAAGCAGAGCCCACTGACCCACTGGCTGCCTGTCACTTGCACCCTGCATACCTTTTGTCCTCTCCTTTCTCACTTCCTATCTCCTCACTTTCTCCTTTTAAGTCTCTGACCCTGAAGACCCAGGGACCAGTGGCAGCAGTTGGGGCTGCAGGGCCCACAGGTCCCCTCCTGTGCCTGGATCAGCGTCTGGGAGGAAGGGTGCTGTGACACAGGGCTGGGGTGGGGAGGAAGTGAGGGACTGTCTCCAAAACAAGCTAAGAGAGACTGCTGTCTTCAGACCAGAGTGTGCGCTGCGGTCGGACTATTTGGCCATGATCTGCTGCACCAGAAGAGGGAGCTACAGGCTAAGAGCTAGAGAGCGCCCCACACCCTGTGTTGGCACTTTACCTGACAGACACCACGAGGGACAGCACCTCCAGCAGCAGGGCTGCCCCGAAGACAGCCAGGGCGGCAGGCGGGGGAGGTGTGGTGGAGGCCCCATACTTCAGGAAGCAGGTGATGGAGAGAATGAGAAATACTGTTGTCGACAAGAACACATCCAGAAGGGAGCTGAAGGTAGCACTGGCAAATGTCTTCACGGGAGAATTCTTTATAACCTGTGTGGGGCAGGAGGGGAACTGAATGACTGGAAGCAGCCATGGGTGGCCACAGAGCATAATGCAGATGGAAAAACACCAATGTCTGCTGAGTGCATGCCTACTCCAGACCTCCTAGGTGACAGTGTTTTAGGTGGGCTATTCCTTGCTACAACCCCACTTGACAATGAGGAAACAGTCACAGAGAAGTTAAGAAACTTGCCCAGGGTCACACGGCAACTGATTATAAACTAGTAGTTCTCATAGACACACTGTGTATTTAGCCTGAAAGATACGTGACTGACTGGCAATGGTAACGACTCTGCATCTGTAAATGCATTGCATGGATGCAAAGTACTGGAAGCTTCTACCAAATGGCTGGGTCCCAAGTTCAGAGTAGTGTGTCAAGTATGATACAGAGGCATGCACATGCTGTTAGGGAATGAAGGAGGGAGGCAATGATGCTAACTTGTCCAAGAGAAGACTAGGCCTAGGCCCCGTGTGGGTCCTGTAGGGCACGATCTCCATCAATGGTCACAACAGCCCTCAGGGAAGGAAACACTATAATTGTGGGGTAGAAACTGGGAGGCGAAGGTAGGGTGGCTGTCCCAAGGTCATATAAGGAGCCAGGCCAGGACTCAGTCCCAACAAGCTAATGTCCAGGTGCTCCCCTAACCTCTGTCCAGGGGCCTCTCAAGGTGAAGGCATGGACTCAAAGGTAGGGGCTATAGTTGGGAGAAAGATGCAAACCATTTAAGCTGCTTTCCATCTGGCAACCCACAAAAGACAACGGATGTCAGCTCGGCCTCCCAGCTGGGCTCAGGCTGGATGCAGGGGGCAGAAACGCCCTGTAACCCGTCTGGTCTGGTGCACATTCCCTTCAGGACAAACTGGCTCTCGGAGCCTCGGCTATACCCCGGATCCCAGGAACTGGGTGGGAGGGGAATAGGGTGAGCCTGGGCAGTGGGGCAAGGCTGGCAGTCAGCCCCTCGTCAGGCCTGGACTCTGCCAAGGCAACCTGGGGACAGGGTTTGGTTCTAGATTCCCTCCAAGAAACTTGTAAGCTCTGGAGGTGTTCCTGTGTCCCAGAGGGTCAGTCTGGCCCTAACTTCTGGAATCCCCTCAGAAGGGCTGAGAATTTTGGAGGCAATGCTGCCCATACTCAGCTGAGGCACATGCACATCCTCCTCTCTCTTTCTGGGGCTCCATCTAGCGCCCTCGGGAACAGTAGGGCTCACTGGAGCTTGCATCACTGGAGTTGGCATCGGGCAGGGGGAGCCCACAGCCTGCTTCATTGCTCCAGCAGCTGAACAGCGTAGGGGAAGCTTTGCTTCTACCTGAACCCTGAGGCTTCCTGACTTCCCCAGTTTTTGACATGGGATGACTAAGGCTCACACTTCAGGTACTCTGAAAACTATTGCACAGAGACTTTTGTTGTAATAGCTGATGTCAGAGGGTTTGGTACATATGACCTAAGAGGCCCCCTGACACCACTGGGATCCCAGGTAGGAGGCTCATCTAGCATCCACGAATCACTGAGTGTTGGAGCCAGGGCAGGCTGGGGAGGTGCCCTTGGAGACGGTTTCCACCTGGGCCGCTGTCCTTTCCGAGAGCCTACATCTCCTGCCTTCCAAGTCCAACTGGCTCAGTCCAGTTCCCATACTGCTTGGAGAACTGCTGCCTCCTCTACGGAACAGCTCCCTCCTGGGACTCTGGCCAAGGCCCCTCCTGTACCTCCTTCCTCCTCCTCTGCTGTCTCTCCTGCTTGCCCTATAGCCCTGGGGTTGGTGCCTCCCAGAGACACCTGCCGTGGCCCCATTCTCTCCTCTCTGCACTTTCTGCCTAGGGCCACCTCAGGGAACCACGTTCCCTTAGCAACCCTCTCCTCCTGGGGGCTTCACCCACTCCACTCCCCTTACCGCCTGCATCCAGTTGGCTCTGGGCACGGGTCTCATCCTGTCCTTGGGCACAGGCTTCGCATTGGGGCTGTCTGGGCTCAAGGCTCCACCATGTCACTGTCTGGGCTCAAGGCTCCACCATGTCACAAGTCACTGGCTGTGACTTCTGTGCATGTTACCTAACCTACCTCTGCTTCAGTCTATTTATCTGAAACCAGGGATAAAACTGGCACCTGCACCTGATGGGAGGTGGTAATGTTCACCTAAGAAACACCCACAGGAAGCATTCGGCACAGCGAGAGCCCAAACAAGGGGGCCGGATGAGAAGTGCTCTATGACTCCAAGTCTCTCCTTTCCTCTCTACCCTGACCTTGTGTTGGACGGCCTTGGACCCGTCCTGGCTTTTGGTAACAGTGTCCTACGTGTTGCCTGGCCTCCTGTCTTGCCCACTCTCCACCACCTTCCTCAACTCAGCCTTGAGATATTTATAAAAACAGTATGATGGAGCCACCTACTGTTCTGGACCCTTCAACAACTCCCGCTGGCCTTCGGCCTCTTCTTTGAGGTGCACAAAGAAGAGAAAGTACACAGGGGAAGTAAAATCCAGTCTGGGGTCAGGGAGAGCTTTTTGGAAGAAATGATGTTTTGGGCTGAGAGTTCAAGGACAACAAAGGTTAAGATGATACAGTGGGAGAAGGTCGTGGAGCCAGAGTTTTAGAGGTAAAAGCCTCCCTCCTGTGTTACTGGGCCCATTTCAGGGGCGAAGAAACCAGATAACAGGTAGAGAAGTCTCACTCAAGAACCCAGGATAGGTGTGGCAGGGGATCCCTTCTGGGACAGGTAGCTGGGTCTTCCAGGGTTGGGGACAGCCACAGGGGCCAAGAGATGCAGCTGCAGCAGAAAGGGTTTGGTTATTATGAGGCTGGGCTTTACGACAAAGGACACAGAAAGGCTTTTTTCTCTATTGCAAAGATAAATTTACATACAGTTGCAATTTAGTGTTTGCAGATTATGGAAATCAGTATTAGCCTTCATTTTCCCATCACTTGCTAAATCACCCAGTGAGAATTACTAATTTCTTTAGTAACATTACAAGGAAAAAAACGTACCTCCTCTTGATAGCTAGTCCTGTAGGATCGCTCCAGCTCCTGATCCAGGAAGTTCAGGCTGAACTGATTAATGGGTGGCTTAAAAAAATAATCTTTCATCAGGCTAAAAGACACAATAAATGCAATCGATCAACATCCAAGCACAATCATTACAATTATTTTATCAGATCATGATTAACTACCAAACGCCACTCATCAGGCACATTACAACAGCTGTATCTAAGTCACTATGTAATAGACATTGTTCCGCTGCCCCTTTTAAAACATCTCTGAAAAGAGTTTCTAAACATAATTGTATTTTATGTCTCATATCTATTAAAAAATAACCATCCACAGTGACTATTAGAACCTTGCTTTTGAAAACATATTCCTAATATCCAGGATTAGAAGAAGATGAAGACAGCTTTTTTGTTCTGTGAAACAATCTTTGCTGAAGAGCCAGCAGATCCTTGTACCGAGAGCACTTGTATTGATTTGGAGGTTTCAAATGAAAACACAATTCAGAGCTGGCTGTCCTGTCATTCAGAGTACTGGCAGTAATTGCCACCATAAAAAATAACAGGTTGTTATCACAAAATTGTGTTTATAGTTAGTGTAATTTTGGTGCTATTGTCACATATGCAGATTGTGCGTGAAACCTGAAAAATGATAACGCTCAATGATGTTAATAGCAGAGAAGTCAAACCTGCTTTACATGACTCTTTCATCCTTTTCTGAATTGCCAGCAAACAGTAATATCCTTTTTACATTTTTTCTTTATTTTTTAATTTTAAAATCTTTTTTAAAAATAATTTTAATTCTGTTTACAATTATTTCATCAACTACGTCAGGTATCAAGTAATATCCTTTTTATACTGCAGAGAATTATGATAAATTTAGGGGACCATTAACATGATTTCTGTAGGTGAATTTAGCCGCAAATATAGTTACTTTCCCTCATGTAGTAACTACTAGAATTAAATCAGATAAAATATGTAAAGTGCCTAGCACGTGCCCGACACAAAGTAGGACTTACCATATGTATACTCCTTCCTTTCCGTGTAGCACAGTGGACTCTCTTTTCTGTGACAAGTGTGCAATAACTTCCTATGTTCTCAGACTCAAGAGGGAGAAAATTCTGTCTCCTGATGTTAACCCCTTCCCCTCTCTTATACTCAGGAAGTATGAACAAAGGAAGAAGCAACAAAGCAGCCTTAAGGAGGATATGCAACGGCCACATTAGCAGGCGAGTGGCAGAATCAACACTGCTATAAGCTGTGCCGCTCCTTTTAAATTAATATTGGGAGGGTTCCACTTTTAGGAATGGAAGATAGCTCCTTTTGGACTAATCCTCTCACAGATAGAAACTATAAGCTCTAGACAAAATATAAAACAACTCCTGGAAGCTACTGGAAAGTGACCAGAGCAAGTAACTCCTAGAGCAGCTATTAAAAGAAAAATAATGCAAAGTGGTATGGGTAAGAAGCCAATAAATATATTAAAATGAAATTAAAAGGCAGAGATTGTCAGAATGGATAAAAAAGTAAGGCCCTGAAAGATGTACTTCAAATATAAAGACACAGATATGTCAAAAGTAAAAAAAAAAAAAAGAAAAGCAAACAGTGAACAAAAGAAGGATAGAGTGGCTATATTAATATCAGATAAAGCAGTCTCTAAGACAATGAGCATCACCAGGGATAAAGAGGGATACTTCAAAATGATAACAAGGATCAATTCATCAGGAATATATAACTCATAAATGTGTATGCACCTAAAAAAGAACTTCAAAATACTTGAAAGAAAAATTGTCAGGACTAAAGAGGAACATACACAATTATAGTTGGAGATTTTAATACCCTTCTCGCTCAACAATTTATAGATAAAATACAAAATAATAAACACAAAAAATTAAGTAAAGAGATAGAGAATCTGAACAATTTTACCAACCACTTGGACCTAATTGATGTTTATGGATTGCACATCCTATAAATGCAGAATATACATTCTTTTCAAGTGTATATGATATGTTCACGTGTCTGCACCTGCACTGACACGTGAGGCCACAAAACAAGTCTCAATTACTGTAAAAGGACTGAAACCACACAGATATGTTCTTGGACTATGACAACATCAAATTAGACATTAACAGCTAATATCTAAATACCATTTCTCACTACAAGGGCTCTTTGAACAAACAGCTGATTCCTCAGCTGGGATAGGGAGGAAGATATAAAATGAGCCTGGAACATATCTCACTAGAAAGAAATTACTCAAAACAAATGAAGGGGCCATGTCACAGCCTAAAGGGGGCTCCTATTGGCCAGATTTGGGATAATTAGAGCATCCAAATATAATCTGGACAGTGATGGATCATAGCCCATTAAATAAAACAGGAATACATGAGTTCAAGATGATAACAGATAGACAGACAGACAAGACAATGAATGGGAAGGAGGACTCTTCTTCACAGTGGAATGCCAGGAGCCAAATGACAAATGTGCAAGGTTGGAAAATCACCATTTGATGCATCATAGTAAAGACTGTTTCAGGCAAGGATCATCAATGAAATAATTCAGTCTGATGAGGAATGGAATATTTACAAGATCTTAAGTATCTTCCTACAGATTCCTTATTAATCATAAGCAGAAAATAATAATTCTAGATCACAGAAACTGGCAACACCTTGTCTGGTTAATCAAAATGAACATAACTAATGAGGAACAAATGAGCACCATGTACCTCTGAATATAAATAATGCCCTGAGAGGGACACAGCATCACCTTTGTAGTATCTGGCCAGAAAGGCAGAACCTGACTCTGATCATGAGGAAATACTGCATGAATGCAACTTCAGGAATATTTTATAAAAGGACTGGGCCTGTGTTCTTCACAGATGTCAACATGATGAAAGACAAAGCATGGCTGAGGAACTGTTCCAAATTTAACAAGACTACAGAGGCATGACGACTATATCATGCAAGCTGTGATCCCGGACTGAATCCTGGACTAGGGGAAAGGGCTATCAAGGATATGCTGAACCAAGTGAGAAAATCAGAATATGGAATATATATTAGATAAAAATATCACATCGGTGTTAAATTTCCTGAATTTAATAAGATGATGTTGAACAACATCCTTGTTTTTAGGAAATACGGTAGGAAAAGGTAAAGAGCAGGATATGTCTAACTTACTGTCAAATGGTTCACAAAGAATAAAAAATAAATTATGAAATTTATACTAGAGGGAGAAAGAGGGGAGGAGAAAGAGAAAGAAGAGCAATAACAAAATATTAAAAGTTAGTAAATCAGCAAAGGGTATTAAGGGAATTCTAGGTATTTATGCAACTTTTCTGCAAGTTTCAAAATGAAAGTAATAAAAAAAAATGAAAGTAATATACTGACCATGGAGGACTAACACATGGGGCATAAGGCAAAGCAGCAAAAGGGGAGAGTTTTACGTGCAACCTCTGCTTTCTACAAATGACTCAAATCTTACCTGTCTTCTTTGATGACATCCACAAAATGGGCGTCGGTTTTCTCCCGGATGTTCTTGAATCTCAGTGGAAGGAGAGCCGACTGGTCCAAGCTCACCCCTGCCCACCTTCCCTTTTCCTGTAAGATCTCACACAGAGAGGTCTGACTGTTGGTGAGCTTCTCCTCTTGGGGAGGGCTCAGAAGTCCATTTTGAGTTTTAGAACTAGGTCCTCCAGAAGCCTGCCTCAAGACAAAGAGGGAGCAAACATCGAAAGTGAAGTGGCGCAGGGAACACGTGCTTATCCCCAGCCTGAGCTCTCTGCCACGCCAGGGTCCCACAACACTAGGTGCCAGACGTTATGACCTGTCTGAGGGGCCTGCACCTGTACATCTGCTCTTAGCTGAACACTCAGCCTCTCGGCCAATCTGCTTCTCCCTGTTGCCCTATTTCCTCAAATGGCATCTCCGGGTGTTTGAGCCACCAGGAAAGTGATACCCTGAGAAGAGACAGCAAGGAGCTGGAGAGAAAGTGGAAAGTTGGAGTTCTAGGAGCTTGCTCACTACAAACTAGAGCTAGGGCTCAGGGGGCAGTGTGGAAGGTTTGGGGGCTCAGGGAAGTGTGATGATGGGTCCAGGGAAAGGAAACATAGAGGTGTCTGTGCTGTGGCTTAGGAGACACAGGTATGAACGTAGGGGCCTGTGTCGTGGGTGCTGACTGTGGCTGTGAGGGACAAGAGTTGACCTGCACGCAGTTCCTTGGCAGATGATGAGAGGAGGATGGCAGAGCCAGGGCCCCTGTGGAGTCAGCTTGCACAAGTCTCCTTTTTTTGTTTTTTTGTGTTTTTTTTTTGAGATAGCTACTTGCTTTGTTGCCCAGGCATGGGTGCAGTGGCACAATCATAGCTCACTGAAACCTCAAACTCCTGGGCTCAAGTGATCTACCTCATCCTCCCACGTAGCTGGGACTGGCCAATATTTCTATTTTTTGTAGAGATGGGGTCTCACTATGTTGTTCAGGTTAGTCTCAAATTCCTGGCCTCAAGTGATCTTCCAGCCTCAGCCTCCCAAAGTGCTAGGATCACAGGTGTGAGCCACTGCACCTGGCCTGCACAAGCTTTCTTGATAGGCTCCCAGGTTTGGGCTTTATCTGCCTTCCACTCCAGTCCTGACCTTCTTCTCAAAGTCCGATTTTTCTGGTAGCCTCCTTGCTGCTTGCCCTAACTCTGACCCTCTCTTCACAGTGCATTTCTCATCTCGAAGAATCCCCTCTCCTCTTTGCACATCTATATTCTACCATATGTGGAGTCCATCTCCCAGCCCCACCTATCCTTTCCAAAACACTCTAATACACATATTTTAAAACTCTTATTGTCCACTAAAGGAGTCCCACCCAGCTCAGCACATGAGCGTGCTATTTCACATGGGCTAGTTCTGACTCTCCATCTTGTTCTTTATTGGTCTACTCAAAACCAAAGGACTAGAAGGCATGGAGCAGTGTTACCTAAGAGGAGTTATTCCCAGAACTAAGAAGTTGACAAGACAGGAATGTCACCTTAGGTGGATGCGCCAGGAGAGGAACTGACAGGAACAACAGCCATGAGCTTGTTACCTTGGTGCTGTTGTTATGCTCATCTTGACAGCCATTTTGGACGGCTCCTCCTTCTGCACCAGCTTCTGATTTGGGAGCAAATGTGATTCCACATGAAAGGCAGGTCTACGAGAAAAACACAGACCATAGAAACATACACAGAAAAGGTGACCATAATGTGTAATTCAAACAAGTCTGATGTTATTGCAATTTGCTGTCACATAGGATGGTCATGGCTTACTGAACCACTCCAGGATGAGCTAAAACCAAACTGGCAAAGTTGAAACATACCAAAACCTGTACACAAACACAGGGCAGCATTATCTACAACAGCCAATAAGTAGAAACTCAAATGTTCACTGACTCATGAATGGATCAACTGTGGCCTATCCATACAATGGAATATTATTCAGCCATAAAGAATAAAAAACTATTGACTATTCTGTCTGGTTGTTAAATAGTTCATCTGGTAATTTAACATCCTTGATCATAGAACAGTCATCCTTGGCATCTACTCTTCTGTAGTCATTTGGTCATTGGAATCTCTCTCATTAGTTTGTTTCAGGCATTTTTTTCTCTTCTTAAGTCCACCTGATGTACTTTAGGAAGAGGCCACCTGTTCCTTAGGTATGCCGCAGCACACTGGTATTCCTGGCTTTATGAGATGGTCTATGCATTTAGAGCCACGAATATGCAAAAGCAACGATCAGACCTGTTGGGCACCAGAGGGCATACTGAACACAGCTGTGGGCTCTGCACAGGTTTCCCTCCATAGCGTCAAGGTCACACAACAAATTGTGAAAGGGCTGAAGGCCAGGGAGACTGGGATGGCCTGTGGGGATGAGGCTGATCTCTGGGAGCCTGAGGCAGCAGTCTTTACATTTGGGCAACTCAATGCTACATTTACAAATATTTACAAACATTTACAAAAGGCCGCTTGGCCTGTACCCTGCTGCGAAAAGATGTTCTAATACAGAGGTGAGGTCTTGTGGAGCTGCCCATGAAAGAACCTAAGCAGCAAAGGCATAGGCTGGTGGAGCTGGAATGTTCATTGAGGGTATGGCAGGCTGCGCTTGAAGTCAGGGGTCATCTGGGTCATGTGGCCAGCTGTACAGACCCACATTTGGGACTCCTAACAGCCTGCCCAGTGCTCACTGCTCACTCTGCACTCCCACAGCAGCTCTGTGCAGGGACTCAGGATAGGGTGGCAGGAACTCCTGCTGCGGACCCCAAGCACCCCCAGGCAGGAACCTGCATCACCCCGATCCAGCAGCCCATCTTTTCACTGCACTTTGAAAATGTGGCTCTTTGTTTTTCTATTTCTTCCTCAGCTATTTTCCTTTTGGGGGAGAAATTTTCTAGATGAAAACTTTAAAACAAATGAAACAAAAAAATCTTAGAGAAATCCACGTACCCTGATGTAGATATTCTTGTATCTCAACATTCCCTCTGATCTGTAGTGAGAGGGCCCTTCTGTACTAGGAGGTCCCACCACGCATCAGTGGGTGGGTTTATTTCCCTCTCCCCAACCCCTAGCAATTTCCCTTTAACTATTTGCCAGTTTAATTTCAATCTGGATTAAAACATTTTACAAACTGGTTTTTGCCAAGCACTGATAGCTCCATGAAATATCTCCCAGCCCATTAAACATCCGTTTGCCCCCTGAACAGATGTGGTGTGGGCATCTCCTCCCCTGCTGAGAAGCCCTCGCTGGGAAAAGCATTTCCAACCTCGGAACCTGTGCACACGGAGGTGCCTTACCACCTCGGAAGGCAAGCCCAAGCAGCTGATTCGCAGGGAGCAACGCTGGCAAGCATGTTAGAGAAAAATCAATGTCGTAATGATAGCAGCTGCTATGATTTAGAAATGTCTATGTGCTAAGGACCTGCCAAGGAACAAAAGTCGGGCCCTCATCCACACAATGTTTGCAAGTCTTGTGTGTGATCTCTGTTAATCCTCCTAACAACACTGTGGGGCAGAAATGATCATTCTGCAAATGCTGACGGACTCCAGGGCTCCGGGCCCCTGACCACCATTGTTGCTTGGCTCTGGCCTCTCTTCCTGGCACAAAGAGGACCCAGGAATAATCCTGGCACTTTGGTTTCCTGTGCCTCGTTCCCCTGAAGTGACCCAAGCAGCTACAACTGTCCTCCTAGTTCTTTCGAGTGGCACCACTGGCACTCGGGCACCAAGGGAAACTTGAAGACCAGCTCCTGGGGTACCCCAGAAAGCATACTCTGCAGGTTAAGGAGTTTGCTGGCTGTTGCCTGGGTAACCTGAGATTCCTTGGAGAATACCCAAGAGCAAACTCTGCAATTTCCCAGATTATCTTTGCTCCTCCCCCCGGGTGGATTTGGGCCTTGGAGGGAAGATTATTTCTCTAACACACTTGGGCACATTTGCATTCATTTTCAACACATTTCAACACATGCACCCTACATTCTGGTCAAAATATATGGCATCAATCTATAAAATAGTTTTTCTTCAAGGTTATTTCTTATCCCAAGATAAATCATTTCTCAGCCAACAGCTGTCCCTTTTCATAACTGTCAAGGGAGAGAGCAGGAAAACCTCTTTTCTGGGAAATGAGGAGGAAACATCATCAGAAAAGTCCTGGCTTTGCCTGTTTAGTCTGCCGAAAGGGAGTATTGAGCAAGATGTCATTTTACAGAAGAAGCATCCTCTGCTCCCAAACTCAAAATCATGTTGAACATGGCAGACAGGAATAATAATGACATTGCAACAATTATAACAAATAGGCTGGGCTTGGTGGCTCACCCCTGTAATCCTAGCACTCTGGGAGGCTGAGGCAGGAGGATCGCTCAAGGTCAGGAGTTCAAGACTAGGCTGAACAAGAGTGAGACCCCGTCTCTACTAAAAATAGAAAGAAATTAGTTGGACAACTAAAAACATATAGAAAAAATTAGGTGGGCATGGTGGCACATGCCTGTAGTCCCAGCTACTCGGGAGGCTGAGGCAGTAAGATCGTTTGAGCCCAGGAGTTTTGAGGTTGCTATGAGCTAGGCTGACACCATGGCACTCTAGCCCAGGCAACAGAGTGAGACTCTGTCTCAAAATAATATTATTAATAATAACAAATACAATTTACTAAGGTGTCCTTCTATACTCTTTGGGTGTTATCAATTTATTTAGTCTTCATAAGTACCCATTCTGCAGGTACTGATTGGTCCCATTTTGCAGATGAGGAAACTGAGACAGAGAAGGGAAGGGACTTGCCCAGAGCCACACAGTTAGAATGGCAGAGGGGAAGTGAAGCAGCAGAGCCCTCAGCCCTAACCACCATGCATGCATATCTCTGGGTGAACAGGGACTGCCTGTAATGAGAGGCAGAAGTCCTGGGGCTCAGCATACATCTCTGGTGGGCCAGGATGTTGTTATTCAAGCTAATGGATTAGGTACAGGCATGAACACTTCAAAAATAGATGATTTCTGCTAACAAAATACTACAGAATAATAGAAGTAGAATATTCAAGGAAAATAGAGGCAGGAATTATCACAGAAAAAGAAAGGCATCCCAGAAGCTATAGGAGCAGATACAGACAGCCTAAGAATACTGGAGACAAAACAACAAACAAACAAAAACTTGTAAAGCTCAGACATAAGATCTCAAAGCTACATGGCATAGAGACAAAGAGCCCTGAACTTCTCATTCAATTCCTTGACCCTAAATTAAAACATATTCAACAGACTGTAAGGCAAGAAGATTGTTACTATGTTGTAGGAATAGTCCATCAGAAAGTCAGAATGAGAAAATATTTTGTATTTTGGGAAATTTCATTTATGTATAACACTTCATCACCTGATGAGGCCAGATACATAATCATGTACAAATCTTTCCATTTCCATATAATATGTAGATTTTTTTATTTTGAAATAATTTTAGACTTAACAGAGAGTGGGAAAGAGTTTGGGAAGTTGGCAAACACCCTTCACCATATATAACCACAGTACAGTAATCAAAACTAAGAAATTAACCCTGGCATAACACTATTAACTAAATACAGACTTTATTCAGACGTCCTCAGTTTCCCCCAAAGCCTCTGTTGTGTTCCGGGTACACTGCATCTGGTTCTCTTGTACCCTTACTTCCCTCTAGTCTGTGGCAGTTCCTTAGTCTCTCCTTGTCTTTCGTGACCTTGGCACTTTTGATGTGTCCCAGTCAGGTATTCAGTAGAACGTCCTTGGATGTGGACCACATATAATTCACCCATTTAAGTTGTGTAATTCAATGGTTTTCAGTATATTCATAGGGTTGAGCAACCATAGCACTGTCAATTGAGATTAGCACTTATAATACTTAATTTCTAAACTTAATATGTATGAGTGTATATATGTAAAATATAAACCTATTATTTTTTTCAATTTCTTTCTTTTTTTCTTTTTCTTTTTTCTTTTTTTTTTTTGAGACAGAGTCTCACTTTGTTGCCTGGGCTAGAGTGAGTGCCATGGTGTCAGCCTAGCTCACAGCAACCTCAAACTCCTGGACTCAAGCAATCCTCCTGCCTCAGCCTCCCAAGTGGCTAGGACTACAGGTGTGAGCCATCAGGCCTGGCTTATTTTTTGTTTCATTTCTAGTTGACTGGATAACTTTTTCTATTTTTAGTAGAGACAGGGTCTTGCTCTTGCTCAGGCTAGTCTTGAACTCCTGAGCTCAAGCAATCCTCCCACCTCGGCCTACCAGAGTGCTAGGATTACAGGCGGGAGCCACCACTCCCAGACTATTTTTTCAATTTTTATAATGAACTAGAAGGCTCCCTACTTCCTCAAACTGGGTTGACTGAGCCTATTCATAATGCTTTTACATACAGAAAACAAGTAGATAAAAGAAGTGATCATTTATTTAGGGTCATTTAAAAAAGTCACAGCAATTGTCACAAACGGATGGCTCCTGGGGATAGTGACCTCAATGGGAAGGATAAATCTTTGAAAACAGGTCCTCTCTGAATTGTCCTTACGTGGGCAAATCCACATCATTAACTTCATTATTGACCCATAAACGCATGGAAACACCCCGTGGCTGTGTAGCCCGAGGTTCTGAATAATGGATGGAGGTAAACTCATGAAGACAGGCCAAGCAGGCACGTTCCCATGGAGGTCTTGCAGAG